GTATCAGTACGGTATGGTTTTTCTTATCAGTCAAGTTAAGTCCCGAGAATATTCCAGTTAAAAATTTAGATCGAGTCGAGCATCTTAACAGTTATTTTCAGTCAGTCTGAGCATAGTACTTAGTATTTGTTTATTTATATAATTTTTACAGAGTGATCAGCAGTAGCACTTACATTATCAGTACAGGTGGGGACTCAGACTGGGTATTACATTGGTTATAATTGCTCTATCATGTTTTAAGGTATGTATATCAGTTATTCCACTTTGGGTGGAGGCGCAGTAGCCTTAATTGCCCATCCAAAGTTCTGGTGGAGGCGCAGTAGCCTTAATTGCCCATCAGAGTGTGCACATGGCCAGTTCAGTACAGACCTCGCGTCTGGAGATTACAGTTTTTTTATATATACCTGCAGTCATGATATTGATATTATTATTAATGTTTATTTCAGTATGAGTTTCTGCGGAGTACAGTGTTTATAGTACTCACGCTCCCACTATTATGATTCTTTTTCAGGAGACAGGGTCGGCCCGGAGGAGTGAGTGGAGCTGGTGGTCGCCGGTCCAGTATATGTAAATATGTTTATATTTTTGCAGATTATTGATATGTATATAATTGCCACGTTTTATTTCCGCTGACGTTTTCAGACTTTCAAACTAGCGTGTAAATTTTCAAACGACGATCCGAGCTTTCGGGTCTAGTTTTATACAATATCACACGCTTGTTTTATAATGATAATTCGTTTTTCATAAATGGGTTTATAGTTAACGGATTTTTAGAAAAGAAACATTTTGTGTAGCATCCCGAGATATGTTTCGCAAAATAAAACGTAAACTTTAGAAAAGGATTTGCGAAAATCGCACGCTGATTTTAGTAAACTAGCGGGGTGTTACAAATTGGTATCAGAGCACATGTTCGTGTATCTGAATACTTTTAAAGTCAGAAATTTTCAGAAAAGACCCGACCACGCTACGCTCACACCCCGCCGACTACCAGGTAAGTGCTGAGTTACAGTTTATATATATTTAAACGAATACTTAAGTCTATGCTCAGCATGAGGGTATCAGATATTTGACCCTAGAAACCAATAAGACGCTCGAGTATTTTCAGAACTTAGTCGATTGTCCCAGTTAATTGATAGTTCGACTTTAGTATTCTCGGGTTATTAGCAACTCGTCAAGAGATCTGTGTACTTAAAATAATCAGTCGGTTAATCTCTTATGTTATTTAATCATGTTAAATATTTCAATGTTCAGATGCCTCCTCGCAGAGAGCCAGATCACCAGGAACTCCCACAGGCCACAACGGTCGCTTTGTTCCGCGACTACCATCCAGAAAAGTTTTCCGGCCAAGGAGATCCTCGTGTAGTAGATGAATGGGTTCAGGGCCTCGAGATTATTTTTGAGGTCATGAACTGCCCTGATCGTTATCGCATGTTATGTGCCCAGATCCAGCTAACCGGTGATGCCAGACTCTGGTGGCAAGCCTATTGGAGTATGCGTCCCGGTGAAAAAGACGGTTGTACGTGGGACCAGTTCAAGGAGCTCATCCGAGAAAAGTATTATCCCTCGTATTATCGAGCAGACATGGAGCGCCAGTTCTTGGCACTCACTCAGGGTACTCGTACTGTTGACGAGTACGAAAGAGAGTTCACCCGTCTCGGAGCCTTTGTACCTGATCTTGTGAGTACGGAGGCGAAGAGAGCCCACCGTTTCACCGACGGACTTCGCCCAGCAGTCCGCCACAACATCGTAGGCCACGGCGTCCAGACCTACGCCCACGCAGTTGCCATTGCACAGGAAGTCGATGCCAGTATCCGACGAGAAGCCACCCAGACACCAGCCCAGCCAGTTGCTCAGCCACCAGCTCAGCCCAAAGTAGCCCAACCATCAACAAACCAGAAGAAGAGGAAGCTCAGACAACCGGAGGGCCCGTCCCAGACAATATCCAGAATGCCCAACCTGCGGGAAACATCACCGTGGAGAATGCCTCGTGGGCCAGAATGTTTGTTTCTTTTGCCGCCAGCCAGGTCACTTCAGCAACAACTATCCAGAACGACTACAACAACAACCGCAACAACGTCAACCGCTACAGCAACCTCAACAACAGCAACTTCAACAACAGCAGCCCAGGCAGCAACCACCACGACCACAACAACAGCAACGCGGCAGACAGCAGACTCGCGTTTTTGCAGTTGACCAGAGGGAGGCCGACCAACACCCAGGTACCATGTCCGGGATGATTATTCTTAATGATGTGCCTGTCTATGCCTTATTTGATACCGGAGCGACCCATTCTTTTATATCACGTCGATGTCTCGAAGCTATTGGGGTTCGTTCCACTACCGCTGTCGATCCTCTCGAGGTGAGTTTAGCCTCGGGAAGAAAGATAGTGATTGACGCTAGAGCCACCGATCTCAGCCTTTCCATCGGCGGCCGTATTCTGATTACTAATACTTATGTTACCGAGATGAGGGATTTTGACCTCATACTCGGTATGGATTGGCTAACTCGATTTCACGCAGATATTCGATGTTACGACCGGGAGATTACTCTTTATCTTCCGGGAGATGATCAGATCACTTATTACGGCTCCAGGACTCGTACTCTGCCACATGTTATTTCTATGGCGAAAGCCAGAAAGATTCTTCGACGGGGTGATTGCCAAGGTTATCTTGTGAGCCTCGTTGGAGATGAGCCAAAGGCACGTTCACCTCATGACATTCCTATCGTTCGTGAGTTCGTGGACGTGTTTCTAGACCAGCTTCCCGGAGGTCCACCTAGCCGACAGGTGGAATTTTCTATTGATCTTATCCCTGGAGCCGGACCCGTTTCAAAGGCACCGTACACAATGGCGCCTAAAGAATTGCAGGAATTAAAGACCCAAATCCAGGAGTTGCTGAATCTCAGTTTTATACGACCGAGCGTTTCTCGTTGGGGAGCACCAGTCCTTTTCGTCAAGAAGAAGGACGGATCCATGCGTATGTGTATCGACTACCGGGATCTTAACCGGTTGACGATCAAGAATAAATATTCGCTTCCCAGGATTGATGATTTATTTGATCAGTTGAGGGGTGCCTGCGTGTTTTCTAAGATCGATTTGCGTTCAGGGTACCATCAGCTGAAAATCAAGGAGTCAGACATACCCAAGACAGCTTTTCGTACGAGATACGGTCACTTCGAGTTTGTGGTTATGCCGTTTGGCCTCAGTAATGCCCCGGCAGTATTCATGGACTTGATGAACCGTGTATTTCATCCTTTTCTCGACTAGTTCGTTATTGTCTTCATCGATGATATTCTTATTTATTCCAAGAGCCAGAAGGAGCACGAGGAGCACCTGAGGGCCGTTCTTTCGACCCTTAGACGCGAGAAGTTATATGCAAAGTTCTCCAAGTGCGAATTTTGGCTTCAGCGAGTGGCTTTTCTTCGCCACATTATTACTTCAGCAGGTATTGAAGTTGACCCTTCCAAAATTGCTGCAGTCCAGAATTGGTCAGCACCAAAGAATCCATCCGAGGTTCGTAGTTTCCTCGGCCTTGCAGGTTATTATCGCCGATTTATCGAGGGGTTCTCGAAGATTGCACTCCCTATGTCTCAGCTGACGAGGAAGTCTGTAAAGTTCGAGTGGACAGACCGTTGTGAGTCGAGTTTTCAGGAGCTGAAAAGGAGGCTTACGACGACACCAGTGTTGACTATTCTAGATCCTTCTCGGAGCTTCACCATCTATAGTGATGCTTCGAGGCAGGGTTTGGGATGTGTACTTATGAAAGATGGTCAGGTCGTTGCTTATGCGTCACGCCAGCTTAAAACACATGAACAGAACTATCCGACGCACGACTTGGAGTTAGCTGCAGTTGTTCATGCCCTCAAGATTTGGCGACACTATTTATACGGCGGTCAATGCGAAATCTTTACTGATCATAAGAGCTTGCAGTATATCTTTACCCAAAAGGAGCTCAATATGAGGCAGCGCCGTTGGTTAGAACTCGTCAAGGATTACGATTGTACGATCCAGTACCATCCGGGAAAGGAAAATGTTGTTGCTGATGCCCTAAGCCGCAAGGTGAAGGGCGATTTGACATATGTTGTTACTCAGCAGAGTCAGTTGATTCATGAGTTCGCCTGGATGCAGATCCAGCTGGTTGATGCACTTCCTACAGCCAGTTTGGGGAGTGTGAATTCCATGCAGGTTCAACCGACGCTGAGGGAGAGAATCCGGCAAGAGCAGGCTTCAGATGAGTTTATTCGTACGATTGATGCTAAGGTTCGTGTCGGAGGCATCGAGGGTTTTCACCGAGGCACTGATGGGGCCTTGGAGTTTCGTGGCAGGATTGTGATGCCTAAAGTCGAAGCATTGAGAAAGGAGATTCTATCTGAGGCTCATACCGCACCCTATCTAGACCATCCAGGAAGCACAAAGATGTACCATGACCTGAAAGGGTCGTTTTGGTGGAGAGGATTGAAGAAAGACGTGGCCGACTTTGTAAGAAGATGTTTAACCTGTCAGCAAGTTAAAGCCGAGCATAAGAGTCCCATAGGCCTTCTACGACCACTACCGATTCCGAGGTGGAAGTGGGAGGAGGTTGCGATGGATTTTGTCACGGGGCTACCGAGGTCGTCTGAACATCACGACGCTATCTGGGTCGTGGTCGACAGATTGACTAAGGTTGCTCATTTCTTGCCAGTATCGATGAGTATGTCTTTGGATCGGTTGGCTGAGATTTATGTCCGTGGGATCGTTCGACTCCATGGAGTACCTGTTACTGTTGTGTCAGACAGAGACCCCAGATTCACAGTAGATTCTGGAAGAGTTTACACGAGGCAATGGGTATGAAGCTAGCCTTCAGTTCAGCCTACCATCCCGAGACTGACGGACAGACAGAGCGGACTATACAGACGTTAGAGGATATGTTACGCGCTTTGACTGTTGACAGGGGTGCTAAATGAGAGTCGTTGTTGCCGTTCGTAGAGTTCGCGTACAACAACAGTTATCATTCTTCTATTCAGATGGCTCCTTATGAGGCACTATACGGTCGTAAATGTCGTTCCCCTCTTTATTGGGACGACGTCGGAGAACGTCGAGTACTCGGTCCGAAGCTGATCGAGGAGATAGCTGAGCAAGTCGAGTTGATCCGGCAGAGACTCAGAACAGCTCAGAGCAGAATAAAATCAACCGCCGATCATCATCGACGAGACATTCAGTTCGAGGTTGGCGAGCACGCTTTTCTCAGAGTTAGTCCATTTCGCGGAGTTATTCGATTTGGGAAGAGAGGGAAGTTACACCCTCGGTTTATTGGCCCGTTCGAAGTACTCGAGCGAGTGGGCGATGTTGCGTATCGTTTAGCCTTACCTCCCGAGCTATCCAGTGTTCACAATGTCTTTCATGTATATATGTTACGCAAGTACGTGTGCGACCCCGATCATGTCATTCCTCATACTGATATTGAGGTTCATCCAGACTTATCTTATGAGGAGCGACCGGTAGCTGTGTTGGACCGACAGGTTCGACGGCTCCGGAAGTGTGATGTTCCCCTCGTACGTATTCAGTGGGATCGCCACGGAGCTACTTGGGAGCAGGAGGCTGACATTCGCGCTCGCTTTCCCGACTTTTAGTTTTGATATGTATATCTTTCATGTATATATGTTTTGTTTTATATTTCCGAGGACGGAAATATTTTAAGGATGGTAGATTGTAATAACCCAACTTCTTGTTAATATAAATGATGTATTATCTTTTATTAATTCCGTTTATTTTCAGCAAATGAGTTCGACTTTAAGTCGAAAAGTTTATCCGGTTACTTGTTAATCAAGTCAAAGTCGATAATTAATTCTGAACCGTTTATTTTATAAACGGACATTATAAATCGGGATTAATTATTAATTAAGCATGTTTGGAATTAAGTTCGAAGTTGAAACCAAATAAGTCTCGAGCGCACGCAAGGTGCCTCATGCACGCACGCTGTGTGCACAGTCGCGCACGCGAATGCGTGCAACACGCATATCGCCGCGCACAGCATACGCAGCGTACACCATTAGGCGCTAAGCGCATGCTTATAAACCCCTAAGCATAATGATCAACTAAAGCAAGTTCGAATCCACACCCTTAGGATTTCCGTGTGGAATATTCAAAGGGGATGAGGTTACATGCAAGTGGTGACTATGAGTCACCTACTTGCTTACACATGGCGGCACACGGACGCACGGGCGATGACTAAGCCCGTGCATGCGCGCCACATCGGCCGTGACTAAGACAAAAGTGCCCAACACTTCAGCCACGTTTGGGACACATGGCAGCCAAGAAAAGAAGATCATCTTTCACCTCTTGACCCAAAGTTTGGTCCAAGCTTACCCCCATTCGGTTTTACTATTTAACCCCAAGTAAAGCCATGAATTTTCTTGTGCATTTTCAGCCAATTTCAGCGTACCAAAATAGAGAGAAAATAGTAAGGAAATATTGTAGAAAAATAGTGCAAAAATAGTTGAGCATTGCCGAAGCAAAGGAGAAGCGAGTACGCACACGTTCAAGTACCGAAACCGCACGCAAGCCATCGTGCAATCCTCGACCAAACTAAAGGGTACATTCATGTTTACCCTCTTTTTATTTATTTCAGTTCACTATAAGAAGATCATGTCGAAATCTCGTTGTTCGGTTCGAGTTTTATAGAAAAATGCCCTCGGAGATGCTATATAAGCTCCCTCCGAGTAACCTCA